TCATGCACAACTCGCCCCACAAGCCACCTCTAATTACGTGTATGCCGTATGCTCCTTCTGCTGTGTTTGAACCATTCTTTCAAATTTCTACACTATGAGACGATGGTTGATGTACATTAGCATAGCCAGTTCTAAGACATGGCCCACATCCGTCTGTAATTTCTCGTGACAAGCAACCCCATTGGTATTACCCAACTCGTGAGGAGACTGACCACCTTAACGTAGGTCCCGGATCCGTTAACTGTTGAGGTACGCTGACACTTGAGAAGGAATCAACGCGGTTTACTCACTCTGCTATTCTTTTTTACGCATTTTTCTTCGTTGAGATTGGGATTTGGAATTTTTATATCATTTGTGAACCCATTATTTCAGGACCCTTGTATCTCTTTTATTCTCTTTTTCCTATCTTTATTATCTATGTTCTTCCCTTCTTCACACCATCACTCCCTACATTTTCTAATCCTATTTCACTCCTTTAATCCTACAAAAAAATTCATTTTGTCTTCTGGGTTTTATTCAATCTTCCAAATTCTTCTACACATTTCATGTAAACTAAATTCTGGGTTTTAATTCAATCTTACAATTTTTTCTATTCAAATATGTAAATTAAAGTCTGGGTCTTGTGAAATTTTATTAAGGCATGTAAATCAATTCCTGGGTTTTATCAGATCAATTTGTGAAGTTGCATGTCAGATCAACTATTGAGATCACTCTTACAATTAATTAAGAAGAAATCTTAATTAATTGATTTGGTTAATCCACCATTAACAATGGAAGTTCTTCCGGACATTGAGGCCACTCAATATTTGAGGTTCGTATAATTTCTTCTTTTAATTTCTTTTGGTTATTTCTGGGTTATTTGATATCTGGGTGTCACTTGATCAGCCTTTATTGCATATATTTCTATTTTTTTGTTTGGATATATTCGTAGTTCATAAGTGATGCATGTTATGTCAAAAGATGAATTAGTGTTAATCATAGATTATCAGATCAAAATCTTTCAAATATTTTGTTAAATTGGTGGTGATATAGTTGTGTTGTTGTACCTAACATTGTGAATTATGATAAACTACTGTAGTGAGTATTGTATGTAATGCATTGTCCTTTAATTCACATTATAATGTTGGGGCGGTGGTAAGTGGTTATGGACTTATGGTGGGCCCCCAGAATCGGAGTCAGAGGGAACCTGTCAGACTGTCTGTCAGTCACTAATCAATACCAAAATAAGTAAAAGAATATAAAGTGAGGTTGATTATAACGTAGATTGTGTCATAGGACAGTAAAAGCTGCAAAATCAACAATATTTTGTCAGAAAGTTGCAATTTGCAAAAGGCTTGAATTTGTGTACACTTCATTTAATGCAACTGCACCATCAAATGAGAAATGAAATTATGTCATGGTGACAAATGTGAATTTGCTGCGGCATGTCTTTTAGCACCTTTGTATTGGTCGCGATAATAGTGATCTAGTGAGTGAATTGGACTAAGCCACTCACTTGAGTACATTTTGTTGATTATTTAGTAAATTGAGGGAGTCAGCAAACCTTTTGCTTAAAGCAGCGCACATATACTTTTCACTTATAATTTTGATTATTTGTGGAGTGTTGCGTTATCACCTTTGTTCAAGTACATGTTTCCACTATACTGTGCGTCTACTGTGCTAAAATTATACGAAGTACTTTGTATGTAAGGAAGATTATCTTGTTGTAGCTAAGGTTTTGGAGTAAGTTTATTGGGGATCAATTGTTAAGTTATTGTGTGTTATATTTCTTTGTGTTTACAATTGATGGCCAACTGGTGTCTCTTGACTACAGTTTAATTGCTGCCTTATCTTATGGAGCTACTTCAATGACTATGGTCTTCCTCAACAAGGCAATCCTTATGGAATACTCGTACTCGATGACTCTCCTCACAGTCCAGGTACGTGATTAAATTTACTCTTTAAACATCTAATTTTTAACCTTAGCATAGCGTTAGTACGTAGCTAATAGTTTGTCTTGTTTTATTTCTTTCACTTGTTTCATGTCTAGCAATTGGCAACTGCTCTGCTTATTCACATCGGTCGTGTGATGGGATACACAAAAGCCAAGGCTTTGAACATGGATACTGCTAAGAAGCTTCTTTGGGTGTCACTTTTCTACAATGCCAATGTAGCCTTTGCTTTAGCAAGCTTGAAAGGAGTTAATATACCCATGTACATTGCGATCAAACGACTAACACCACTTGCTGTGTTGGTGGCTGGATTCTTTTCAGGGAAGAAAAGACCTTCAAGACAGGTTTGCACTTACCATTCTAGTTCCACAGCAAAGATCTATCAAAATTCTTCTGTGCAAAATGTTGTAACTGAAGATGAGTCATAACATGCATTTTTGTTCCTCAGCACTAATAGAAAGTCTTAACTACTGGGAAAATAAAATAAAAATATTTTACAGAGTAGTGAGATTTGTAAAAAAGTAAAATTAAAAAATTTGCAATGCGTATCTTTGTACAGAGCACTGCAGTTTGGAAAGTGGAGGCTAGTCCTTAATTTGCCTTCAGTCAATCTAAAATCATGCTCTATTGTGAAACTGCAAATTATAGTGATTAGAGAATAAACTTTGGTTCATGGGTTTTAACTTTTAACTAATGATTCTTCACATCACAAATGGGGAAATATCCTAGATCAGGATGCTGCATTTTTTTCACTGATGTACGTTGCTACTGGTTAGTGGGAGTGAGAAAATGACAGTTGCTTGTTGATGTTTAGGCATACTATTAGAGCTAAAATTGTGCAAAGGTGTCAAGCCCCAAATGTTTCTGTGTTAAGATATGAGTTATTACAAGATATAGTTAGGTATGAAGGACCTTTTTTAGGAAGTTGTGCTCGACTAAGAAACTGTGTCTTTCTGCACATAAGGGCAAGGCTGATTGCATTAGACTGCCAAATCCTCGGTTATATGGATTGTATCCTGCCAAGTTGGGTAACATTGAGTTTAGGCTTTGACCTCGTTTTTAATGGGAGAAAGTTCTCTTTTTGTGTGTGTGTTGGGGGAGGGGGGGGGGTAACTATATGAACCTCTTGACTCTTGCACCCTGTGATGATTGGTTTTATCATTGGGATGAAAACATAAGTTTTACTTTTTTTGATGTATGCTCTACTCCCCTACATAATCATGTATATTAACAGCTATATGGCGTTTGTTTTCGTTCAGGTGAGTCTTTCAGTGATCTTAACAGCTGTTGGGGTACTTATTGCAGCACTTGGAGATTTTTCCTTTGACCTTTTTGGTTACAGCATGGCATTAACTTCTGTCTTTTTTCAGGTAATAATTTCCTTAATGGCCAATGCTATGTTTAGATGCATACTGTTGTGTGAGTTTCATCATTTTTGTTTGGAGTGTAATAGAATGCTATTTCTGGATGCAGACAATGTACCTAGTCTTAGTTGAGAAGTCTGGTGCAGAAGATGGACTCTCATCAGTGGAGATAATGTTCTATAACAGCTTTTTGTCACTTCCAGTTCTTGTGTTTCTTATTTTAGCGACAAAAGAGTTTCCTAATTCACTATCTTTGTTGTTTGGCAAGGTAAATAATCAATCTCATCCTTGTTTTTGAAGTCATTTTTGTAGCTAATTAAAAGCCAGATTAGTACCATGAAACTTCAATTTGTTTGGATCTGAATGTTCTTTTCAACTTCAAGCAGTCGAGTAGAATGTAAGTAGCACGTAGCAATTATCATTGAGTATTGTGAACTTCTACACCATCAATCATTAATCTGCAAATTATCAGACATGCTTATCGTTTTCGGTGATGGCATATATTAAAAATTTCTTTGCTTCTTGGTGATGGTATCTGTATAATGCTTTTAATTCATGAGAATGATTATATTAATACATTTTTGTACTGTGAATCAGAGTTCCTCCCTGTCATTTTTGGTGATCCTTGCTGCTTCTCTTATCATGGGCATTGCTCTCAACTTCACCATGTTCCTTTGTACGATAGTCAACTCTGCTTTGACGACCACTATTGTTGGGGTTCTGAAAGGTGTTGGATCAACGGTATGAATCAATTCCCTATGTGATTATGAAATGCAATAGCTATACTTGGTTACCTTTTTTCTGTGGGAGGGGGTGCTTGGTTGCTGCATGATCCAAGGGTAATCTATGCTTATTTGGATGGCTAAAATTCTGTATGCTTATATAACTTCTTTCTCTGCTGCTCAGACCCTTGGATTTGTCTTGTTGGGAGGAGTGGAAATACATGCTCTGAATGTGACTGGATTGATCATCAACACGGTAGGAGGCGTTTGGTATTCTTACGCCAAATACCAGGAGAAGAAAAAGAAGTTACCTAAGACAATTCCTGATGCAGAGGCATACCGAAAATAATAGGATTATAGTTTTTTTTTTTTTCTTTTTTTTTTTGCCTTCATTTGATACTATTTTGTTTGGTGATGGCATGCATGATTATTTTCATTCAATTTATACGTCCATGTGAACCTCAGCAATAGAGATATATTTGTTACACATTGCTCCAAAAGAAATATAAGATGTTGAAAGATCAAAAGATAAGGCCTAGCGTGTTTTTAGTTTCTCTGCAAACTAGTGATTTGGAAAAACCTCCATGTATGACTGACTACTTGGACGGCAAAAATAAATTGTGCTGAATTTGAAATATGAACCTGATTTCTGTTTAAATTGTACTTGTATAAAAGTATTTCGTATAATTTAGGACTTGTGAAACAGGACAACATAATGCTATTATGCTTATGAATTAAGATGGTCTTAACTTTACAAAAAGCCAATATATTTATTCCAACAAAGAATCAAAACATGTAAGAAAAATAAGACGAGAAATTGGACTGCAAATTTTAGAAATTTTGTTAATGTGTAATTCAGTATTCAATAGCGCAAGACGTTGTCTTCTGTGTACATGTTGTCAAAGAGCTCAATAATTGCTTCAATGAAAATTCTATCAAAATTACGAATTTGGTTTACTATGACAATTCATGTAAATGTACAGCTATAGTTAAGTAACGTATCACCCAAAAAAGGAGGGGTAAAAGTAAAGTTCATCTACATATTTCTGGTTTTGGACAGCAAGGACTAAGGAGCAACAATTGCATGACCTATATTACATCTGATTGCTGGTATTCAGGGCTCAGAAAAGAAGTCAGGATCTTGAGGCTTCATCATCTTAGGTAGATCAATATCCCTGTTTCTTTGTGCGCCTTTTCGTGCATTGCCTGCAAATCTCTTTGCCAAAAGAGTGACTCCAAGCTGTTGTATAGCCTGAGATGGCGTTGCAGTTTCACCACTATTGTCATCAGGAGCTTGTTCTTGGCTTTCAAACTCAACATTATCATATTGGGAAAATGAACTCGATGCAGTTAAAGAACCTGAGAATGACTCCCTTGAGCTTAAGCTTTGAGCTAGCTTTCTCTTCTTAAACCGTCTCCAAGCAGCTTGAATAAAGCAGGCTCCCCATGTTCGCCAGTGATGAGAATAGTAACGGAAAGTGTGCTGAAGCTTTTTACTATGCAGACGCCTAAACTGGTTTGCCACGAATTTGAGGTCTTCTGCTTGCAATGAAAAAGCTTCTACTTCCTCTAGTGCTTTAACAGTTCTAGTGGAAGACGGAAAATTAGAAGCATTTGGAAGTAAGGCCCAAGCAAGAAACTCTTCACCACAGAAGTCCCCTGGTCTTAATAAGATGGAATTGAAAAACCCTGAACGCCCTCCATTTGTAGTTGAGCTGTCTAGTTTCCCTCTTATAATAAAGAGCATTTCTGTAACAGGATCACCCTCGCGAACAATGAAAGTGCCTGCTGTATTTAGAGAAGATCTCAGTCTCTCACATATAGCATCCAGTAGTTGATGATCCATTGAAGCAAAAAAAGGGACCTGAAAAGCAGGGAAATGCTTTTTTAGTACATGACTAGTTTTGGATTTTGAAACAGTAGCTTCCAGTATGAATGTTAAAGGGTCAATTCTAAGCTATAATGTCCCTGCATTGGCTTGCAGGTTCAAACAGAATTTTTCACTAATCTATAAATGATCCGAAATACTACGTATTATGTTTTTCGGTATCTCCAATTCTCCATTCCTTTCTGGCTGTTATGAATTATTTTTAATATTAATAATTATTATAATTATTCAAAATAATAAATTATTATCATCAATACAATATTAATTATTATGTTATTATTAATTATTATTTGAAAGCAGAACAAATTTCTTTTGAGCAGAACAGAACAGATTTGATTTGAACATAACAAAGCAGGTTCAGCAGAGCAGAGCAGCTCTAAAGAACAAGGGCTTATTCCCGATTTTAGGAGATCTGACTCGGGCGTATATTTCCTCGGAAGAAACATGTTTCTCTCTTTCCCATGGTGAATTAACTACTCGTGACGTTCAAAGTTGTCCTGGTTTGGCCGTGCAATCCTACTCCGTATTCCCGCTGCTCACGCGGCTGCTCATTGTCCAACAGGCCAACACAAGGTTGTGCTTGTGGTTTTTGGATGTCAATTCATACGAGGTACTTAACAATAAATATCTATTCTACTTTTAATTTTAAATTTTTTCAATGAATTCAATTAGAGAGATTGAACTATTGAATTGCTGTTCACTGGGTTTGTGAATTAATTTGCAGGCAATTATGATAATGGGCATTCATAAATTTCTTAAAGTTTGTGGAATTTTGGATGAATTGCATCTAGGAAGAACAAAATTACTAGACCCATGTCTTAAATTTACAAGATTTTGTCATTTTGAACAATACCCATCTGTTAATTCATCTAATTCATCGTTAGTGAAAATTCCTCAAAGTAAGATAGGGATTTTCTGGGATTTGGAAAACAAACCCCCGAATTCTGTCTCTCCGTTTGAGGCTGCGATTAAGTTGAAAAGGGCAATTTCATCTTTTGGGATTGTTCGATATATGGTTGCTTATGCAAACCACCATGCATTTAGCTATGTGCCTCCTGCAGTTAGGGAGTTGAGGAATGAGAGGAAGGTGTTATATCATTTAGAAAACAAAGGAGTTATCAGGTCTGTTGAACCGTATGTATGTCGGGTTTGTGGGAGGAAATTTAGGGTGAATGAGAAGCTTATTGAGCATTTTAAGGTTCATGAGAGGGAGCATCAGAAAAGGCTGAAGCAGATAGAGTCTGCAAAAGGGAAGAAGAGGGTTACTTTGGTTGGGAAATATGCAATGAAGATGGAGAAATATAAGAATGCTGCTCGGGATATTTTGACTCCCAAGGTTGGGTACGGTTTAGGGGACGATTTGAAACGTGCTGGTTTTTGGGTGAAGATGGTGTCTGATGAACCACAAGCAGCTGATGTTGCTTTAAGGAGTCATATTGTGGATATGATGGATCATAGGCGAATACAATGCTTGGTCATTGTCTCAGATGATTCAGATTTTTTAGGTGTCTTGAAGGAAGCTAAGGAGAGATGTCTCAAGACTGTTGTTGTTGGTGACAATCATGATGGGGTGCTGAAGAGAAATGCAGATGCCTCTTTTTCTTGGCGGGATATTTTGGTTGGTAAGGCTAAAACGCAGGCAGTTTCAGTTGTAGGCCAGTGGAAAGATTGCGATGTTTTGAAGAGACTGGAATGGTCTTATAATCCAGATCTGGGAAGAGATGTTTGTAAAGGGAGTAATGCCTGTGATTTTGAGGATGTTCAGCTTGAGGAGGAAGATACTGATGATTCAATTGAAGAAGATCATGACCCTTTGCTCCACAATGATGACTCTCCTCACAGTCCAGGTACGTGATTAAATTTACTCTTTAAACATCTAATTTTTAACCTTAGCATAGCGTTAGTACGTAGCTAATAGTTTGTCTTGTTTTATTTCTTTCAATTTGATTTTTTGCTTGTTTTATGTCTAGCAATTGGCAACTGCTCTGCTTATTCACATCGGTCGTGTGATGGGATACACAAAGGCCAAGGCTTTGAACATGGATACTGCTAAGAAGCTTCTTTGGGTGTCACTTTTCTACAATGCCAATGTAGCCTTTGCTTTAGCAAGCTTGAAAGGGGTTAATATACCCATGTATATTGCTATCAAACGACTTACACCACTTGCTGTGTTGGTGGCTGGATTCTTTTCAGGGAAGAAAAGACCTTCAAGACAGGTTTGCACTTACCATTCTAGTTCCACAGCAAAGATATATCAAAATTCTTCTGTGCAAAATGTTGTAACTGAAGATGAGTCATAACATGCATTTTTGTTCCTCAGCACTAATATGCAGTCTTAACTTCTGGGGAAATACAATAAAAATATTTTACGGAGTAGTGAGTTTTGTAATAAGAAAATAAAAAATATGCAATGCGTATCTTTGGACAGAGCACTGGAGTTTGGAAAGAGGAGGCATAGTCCTTTATTTGCCTTCAGTCAATTTAAAATCATGCTCTATTGTGAAACTGCAAATTATAGTGATTAGAGAATAACATTTGGTTCACGGGTTTTAACTTTTAACTAATGAGTCTTCACATCACCAATGGGGAAATATCCTAGATCAGGATGCTGCATTTTTTTCACTGATCTACATTGCAATGGTGAAAATGGCAGTTGCTTGTTGATGTTTAGGCATGCTATTAGAGCTAAAAGTGTGCAAAGGTGTCAAGCCCCAAATGTTTTTGTGTTAAAATATGAGTTATTACAAGATATAGTTAGGTATGAAGGACTTTTTTTAGGAAGTTGTGCTTAACTAAGAAACAGTGTCTTTCTGCACATATGGGCAAGGCTGAGTGCATTAGACTCCCAAACCCTCGGTTATATGGATTGTATCCTGCCAATTTGGGTAACATTGAGTTTAGGCTTTGACCTCGTTTTTATTGGGAGAAAATTTTGCTTTGTGTGTGTGTGTGGGGGGGGGGATAACTATATGAACCTCTTGACTCTTGCACCCTGTGATGATTGGTTTAATCATTGGGATGAAAACATAAGTTTAACTTCTTTTGATGTACGCTCTACTCCTCTACATAATCATGTATGTTAACAGCTATTTGGCGTTTGTTTTCGTTCAGGCGAGTCTTTCAGTGATCCTAACAGCTGTTGGGGTACTTATTGCAGCACTTGGAGATTTTTCCTTTGACCTTTTTGGTTACAGCATGGCATTAACTTCTGTCTTTTTTCAGGTAATATTTTCCTTAATGGCCAATGCTATGTTTAGATGCACACTGTTGTGTGAGTTTCATCATTTTTGTTTGGAGGGTAATAGAATGCTGTTTCTGGATGCAGACAATGTTCCTAGTCTTAGTTGAGAAATCTGGTGCAGAAGATGGACTCTCATCAGTGGAGATAATGTTCTATAACAGCTTTTTGTCACTTCCAGTTCTTGTGTTTCTCATTTTAGCAACAAAAGAGTTTCCTGATTCACTATCTTTGTTGTTTGGCAAGGTAAATAATAAATCTCGTCCTTGTTTTAGAAGTCATTTTTGTAGCTAATTAAAAGCCAGATTAGTACCGTTAAACTTCAATATGTTTGGATCTGAATGTTCTTTTCAACTTTCAAGCAGTCATAAGAGGGAAAAAGAGTAGAATGTAAGTAGCACGTAGCAATTATCATTGAGTATATTGTGAACTTCTACACCATCAATCACTAATCTGCAAATTTATCAGACATATATGCTTATCGTTTTTGGTGATGGCATATCCGCATATATATTAAAAATTTCTTTGTTTCTTGGTGATGGTATCTTTATAATGTTTTTAATCCATGAGAATGATTATATTTAATACATATTTGTACTGTGAATCAGAGTTCCTCCGTCATTTTTGGTGATCCTTGCTGCTTCTCTAATCATGGGCATTGCTCTCAACTTCACCATGTTCCTTTGTACGATAGTCAACTCTGCTCTGACGACCACTATTGTTGGAGTTCTGAAAGGTGTTGGATCAACGGTATGAATCACTTCCCTTTGTGATTATGAAAATGCAATACTTAGTTCCCTTTTTCTTGGTGGGGGGTGCTAGGTTGTTGCATGATCCAAGGGTAATCTATGCTTATTTGGATGGTTAAAATACTGATGTATGCTTATATAACTTCTTTCTCTGCTGTCAGACCCTTGGATTTGTCTTGCTGGGAGGAGTAGAAATACATGCTCTGAATGTGACTGGATTGGTCATTAACACTGTAGGAGGCGTTTGGTATTCTTACGCCAAATACCAGGAGAAGAAAAAGAAGCTACCTAAGACAATTCCTGATGCGGAGGCATATCGAAAATAATAGGATTATAGTGTTGTTTTTTTTTTCGCTGCCTTCATTTGATACTATTTTGTTTGGTGATGGCGTGCATCATTATTTTCATTCAATGTATACGTCCATGTGAACCTCAGCAATAGAGATATACGGAGTATTTGTTACACATTGCTCCGAAAGAAATATAAGATGTTGAAATCAAATAATTTACCTTGTATGTTTTTAGTTTCTCTGGAAACAATATTTGAAAAAACCTCCATGTATCAATGTATGACTACTTGGATGGCAAAGATCAAGTGTGTTCCAGCATTCTCGTATATTTTCTGTTTAAACTATACTTGTATAAAAGTACTTCGTATAATTTGTTGTAAAATGATAAGGTGTTTTCAACTTTTCAAGACTACAAAAGTAGTTAATAATAAGATCGAACAATTAATCTTATAATAATGGAACAAGAATGGTGTGTCGTGATGTAAATCGCTGACTTGAAAACAAAATTCCAGCGCAATCGTGGTGCTCAATTGTATTTGTCGTCACGTTCTCTAAGGTTAACACACCACTTCCACACAAAGACACTTTAGGGTGGATGTCGAGTTGGCTTATGAATGTGTTTTCTGGTGATATATAAAGAGGGATCCGGTGAGAATAGGCCCATATGTGAGAATTTGTACTTATATGAGAAATGATCTTAAATTTAGAACATGTTAGTACAAATTTAGAACATACGAGTAAAAATTTAGAACATGTGACTCAAATTAAAATTTTGAACATATGAGTAATAATTTAGAACATCAGTGTGAGTAATATGTTTAGAACATTTGATTTAAGAATTAGAACAAGTGATTAAATATTTATTAAATTTACTTTATGAAATTTTAAACATGAGAATCTGATTTAAGATTATGAACATGTAAATAAAAATTTAGAACAAAATAATATAGAATATAGAACGTGTGAGTAAAAAATTTAGAATATACGAGTAAAAAAATAGAACATACGCTTTAAAATTTGGAACATATAATTAAAAATCTTAGAACACACGTTTTAAAATTTAGAACATATAAGTTAAAATTTTGGAACAAGTTTTTTAAAATTTATGATATCAAACTTAACTAATTTATGGTTTAGAACACGTGAGTACTAAATTAGAATGAACATTTGATTTAATTTAGAACACCTAAGGAAAAGTTTAGAACATCAGATTTAAAATTTAGAACATAAGAGTTAAAATTTAGAACATAAAAAGTGTTCTCACATAAGAAAAATTCTCACATAAGACAAATTCTCACGAGAGCCTCCCCCTATATATATATATATATATATATATATATATATATATATATATATATATATTAATAATCAAGCTAGGTAAGTGAAGAAGCAAGGAAGCTCAAAAGATGAAACATTAATCAGAAATTAAGGTCCTTAAATAACCATGGGAGTTAAGAGGAGGTTACAAAATAAGAATCCAAGGTAAGAAGAGGAAACAAATACGCATCAAATTAGTAGCCATGCAAGACTGGGCATCACACGTGCCCGGTCGGGCGAGAAAGAACAATGTTGTTTCTAGCAGCACTCGTGCCCGACCAGGCGGAGCTTGCCCGATCAGGTGAGCTTCCATCTTGCAATCCTTCTTTGTCTCGCGCCCAATCGGGCACATCTAGCTCGATCAGGCTTATGGCTATGGTCAACTTTGCATTTCTTTTGTTAAATTGTGACTCGAAATCTAGTATGGATGACTTTGAATGCAGATATATCTCAAACTATAAATTATTTTGAGGTGATTCAAGTTGGAGGTGATAGCATGGTTCAAGAGTTTTCCAACAGTAAGTCAAATGCCCAATTCCAATAATAAACGAGAAAGTTATGATCGCTTTTCGAAAACCTGACAAAGGTGGAAAATTGCAACGAGCGGGCGAGCTATAGCTCTATGCGAGTGAGCTATAGCTCGGCCCTATGAGACTTGCGGCAGGCACAAGATAGCTTCCGAGCTATAGCTCGGTAATTCAATTCTTCTAGGATAATTTATGGGATATTTCCTAAAATTATATATTTTCTATGATGGCTATTTGAGTATAATTGGGAAACAATTTTAAGGTTTAATTAGGGTTTCCTTATGTTATAAAGGACTCTTTAGTTGATCAATTAGATCATATCTTTTGAGCCATTAGATTTAGGACACTTTGTATTATCCTCATAGTGAACAAGCTCTTGAATCCCCACCCGTGAATGTAGGTCTATTTTGACCGAACTACGTAAATCCTTGTGTTCTTTGTTTATCTTCTTTATTGATTTTCTCGTTCTTATTTTTCATTGATTTGTTCCGCATTAATCAAGCACAATTACACCCTTATTTCCTAACATCTTTCCTTTATTCCAACATTATTTAGGACTTGTGAAAGTGAGGGCATCATAATACTATTATGCTAAATTGCTAATGAATTGATACGGTTGTAACTTTACAAAGAATGTGTTAGTGGAATTATAAATTAAAAAAAAAAAAAGTCTAGGCATTTGGGGCGAAACGCTCAGAATTTTCTAGGTTAGTGTAAATTTTTTTTGAAAAAAACTGGACATTTCTACCCAAAAATGCTATCATCTAATTCGTTAGTGTAATTATAAATCTAGCATTAAGTAATTAACTTCTCTACTGGCTAGGTATTTTAAAGCCAAGTCATTAGACCATATCTTCCTCACGAAGTCACTAGACAATTATGTCCTTGAACACAAGCCATGTAGTTTTACAGTTGATTGTTACTCCCTCCGTACTGAAGTTATGAGATTAGTAATGCAAATCAGAGGAAGTTATTATCGAGCTACCTAAAGAGCTATCGTTCTCTTGGTGACGGCACACGAAAACAAGGCTGAGTTATAGCTCGCTCGTAAGCGAGCGAGCGATAGTTCAACTGCACACGGAGGTTGCGACAAGGCCGAGCTATAGCGAGCGATAACTTGGGTGCATGCGTGTGTGTGGCAGGGTCGAGCTATCCTATGTGAGTGATATAACTTGGGTGCATGCGTGTGTGCAGCAGGGCCGAGCTATCCTACGGCTATTTCTTATTTACTCATATAGGATAGCTCGACCCTGCCACAATGCCACACACATATATATACCCTCCTTATCCCCCAAATTGAGATATACATATTTGTTATCTCTAAAACCCTAAACAAACAAACACAAACCTACCTTTTGAGATCTGAACACTTCTTGAAGCAATCCTATCTTTCGAGTTCGGGTGCACGGATTATGAGGGAAATTGCGTTAAACTTGGGGGACGTGTGTCACTAAAAAACTTGTATCAGTGGGGCATTTCACTTCTAAGGCAGTGAATCCAGTGATTTATGTTATACGGTGACTGTGTTATTGAGTTCTTCAATCATTTTTTTTTTCTTTCATAATCTTTTATTATAGGAATTAGTAGATATTTCACCAACACCTTGTCCCATTTGACTGTTCACGATCTCCAAGATGCGTCTTTAAATGTATATATCTTTATTTTTATACTCGCAAAAGTTATAAAAACTTGATATTAATAAAATTAAAAATGAGACGATTCCAACATAATCCCAAATGAATGTATTATTACTTATAAATTGTTTAGGTCCAATTCGATCTAATTTGGCCGGCCCACAAATGATCTAATTGTTTCAAAGGTTCTATATATATATATGTATGTATGTATGTATGTATGTATATACACACATATATATACATAGTATATACATAGTATATATATATATATATATATATATATATATATATATATATAACACTTAAAAATGAACATACGTTTTTTTTTTCCACTTCCTTTGTTTTATCTTAACTCTCTCTCTCTCTCTCTCTCTCTCTCTCTCTCTCTCTCTCTCTCTCTCTCTCTCCTCCTCCTCCTCCTCCTCCTCCTCCTCCTCCTATCTTACTTCTATTAACTTTATCTCTTCTCTGTTTCTTTTTCGTTCAAAATTTTATCTCTCCTCTGTTTTCTTTTCCATTTAAAATTTTATCTCTCCTCTTTTGCTCCTTTCCTTATTAGTTAAATTTCTTCAATCTTTACACTTTTTTGTCCTTCTACTTTAGAGATTCTCCAATTTGTCACCATTGTAGCATTCTCCATCGTCATCATCTTCGTCACGATGGTGAATCTTGAGGTAAATTTATGTTTGTGGTTTTATATATATATATATATATATATATATATATATATATATATATATATATATATATATATATATATATATATATATATATATATATATATATATATATATATATATATATATATATATATATATATATATATATATATATATATGTGAATGTTATAAAATTGTTGATTTCTATCAATTTTGCATTTGTGATTCTTAATCTACCATGTTATTGATCGATAACTATTGTCTCCATGATGAATCAAAATTATATTTAAGATGGATATTCAAATTTTTGGAGTTAAATTAATTACAATCGAATTTGGGTATAATTTCTGTAAAAAAAAATTTTATATATAAAAAATGAACTCGCCATACTCTAAATATGAACATTTCGTACACTAAGAATGAACATTTAGTAAATAAAAAATGAACATATTTAACAATTTTTTTATCCTTACTTTTCGTTAATAATTATATATTATTTATTTGAACCTATATGAAAACTAGGTTCATTTTGAATTTACTACATGTTCATTTTTTTTTGTACGTGTTTATTTTTTTTCGTGATACAAATGTTTATTTTATTTAGTGTTCATATATATTTGTGAAAATTTTATTTTATTAGGTATGGTCCAACTATTCTTTTATTATATGATAAATGTTCATATTTCTTATTTGACGTGTTCACTTTTTCTTATTAAATGTTCATGTTCATGTTTAGTATACTAAATAAATGATCATTTTTTTAACATGTTCACTTTTTAGTACTAAATGTGCATTTATTTTTCTACGTATTCATTTTTACGGAGTATATTAGTGAATGTTTTTTTTTTTACGTGTTTTAAATTTTACTTAATGTTCATATTTATTTACAAAATGTTCA